GCTATTTTGAATGTTGCAGTGTCTGAAGTTTTTTATTGGATAGGGAGGGGGGTGTAACAAAAGTTAGATAGCAAACCACTCTAGACAACTCTCACTTTAAGAAGTGCACTCATTGGTAAAGACAATCGATAAATCTATTACCAGTTGATTGAGTGAAAGAATAAAGAACGGAAGTAACTCGACTCTCGACTCTATCGATACTTGGCTTGACATAACTTTAGTCATCACACAAGAGAAACTTTCATCCTTCTTTTTCTTATAATAAAGTAAATTTACAATTGGTGCAAATAATACATCGAATGAATAGTATCGATGCCATTTCAGGACGGTCACAGGTCATTACACTACAATGGCGAAACAATGGTTGCTAGGTGACGGTAAATATTATTGACATACTTCTAATTTTGACATTATTCGTTTTCGTTTTATTGAAAAATACAATTTTTTTTTTATTATTATTATCATTATTTGTTAGAAAATCAATACTTTTTGTTTCGATTTTATATAAAATTTAACGATACTGTACTTACTTTAATTGTTTGATGAAACGTAATTAGTTTTGTTACGGTTCGTACTCCATTTACAGGAAGGAGTGTTAACTAATCATTTAAGATTCAAGTTGAAGCAGTTGATGAAAAGTTTACAAGGAATAATTGATAGGTAATCGAGGTGATTTAGTTTAATGTTCGATGCTACTGTATATTCAATTACTGTAATAAATATTGTGAAATTAGGAAAGTTTATGTAATGAAACATCACTATACTCGTGTTTAGACATTTATGTACTGTATACCATTTATTCTGAAATAGATGATACCATTTTGATAACGTTAAATATTAATTTAAATTGCAAAATTTTATATTAAATTTTCTATAGATAAATTTCAAGAATAATCGATAAATATTAATTTCAAATTTAAAATATGAATACTGTATCATTTTAAAATTTAAGATAAATTCTAAGATAAAATCTAAGAATTTAGAAACAAGATGGATGATAATTCGAAATAACTCTTGAATTTAAAGCTCCGATTTAAACTCATTCTCCTCTTTAAAATAGAATTTTTAAGAAAAAAATTGAATGATAATTAGAAGAAACCACGTATTTAATATCCACTTGCACTTTTAAAAGTGAAAATCAGTCTTTTCGGGAATAATGAGGATAAGATTTTCAGGAATAAAATTGATTAATAATTAAAAGTAAACTTTTGAAATTTACGAAGCACCCTACTTTTTAGCATAAGATTTTTAGGAACAAATTTGAATGATAATTAGAAGAAAGCTTTGAATTTAAAACTCTATCTTCGCTTTTAAAATAGGATTTTCAAGAAGGAAAAAAATGTATAATAATTGGATGTAAATCTCAATTTTAAGGCACAGCCCTAATTCTAAAATGGGATTTTTGGGAATAAAATTGGAAGATAATTAGAAGTAAATCTAGAATTTCACACCCATCCATCCCACTTTTAAAAACGGGAGCGGGTCTTCTAAAAGAGTGGTAAAACTATTTTCAGGAATTAAATTAGATAATAAGTAGAAGCAGTGCCATCGAAAGCTTGGTATAGGGATAGATCGAGCTCCTTTTTCCTTTCTTTTTTAAACAAATAAAATACATAGAGAAAGTTTTTTTTATTAATAAATAGAAGTCTTAAAGATTTAATTTTTTGCTAGTAAATCTAACATTAATTTATAGGGGGTAGGAATTACAAAAATGCTCCTGGATGGTCACTCCTCTCGACGATCCTCAGTAAAAGTAAACTTCGAATTTAAGAGAAATAGACCCTTTCAATTCGGAAATATATGGGAATGCTTCTTAACTTTGTAATAATACGGTATTTAAAGTTGTTATTACTTTTTTATTACATAAACAAAGGAGAGAACATATTTCTGGAATGCATTTTTGTAAAAATGTAATGGAAGAATTTTACATTAAATATTCCAAAATATATTGATAAAAATTACTGAAGCGTTAGAAAATATGCTCGATCAGAAAATCCTTTAAAATGCAGCTGAAAAGACAAATAAAAGTGAATACTTTATCCAATTTTTTACAACAAATATTTAAACAGTTAAACGACCTTTGATTCACCTACCTCTAACATTCAATTGTATAGTATATAAAGCTCATCTTCTACAGTAAATAAATTGCATAATACTCGAAGAAAGTATATAAATATAGGGACTATTCAGATAATATTTTATGATAAATAAGATTTTGAAATAGAAAAGTTTCAAAATAATTTTCTATATACATTATAATTGTTATTCAAACATAAGTTCACTTGTTTATTAAGAAAGTAAGTATTTATTATTAATTATTTAAATATTTATTTAAGACGTAATTTTATTTATTATGTTGAGAATTTAATTTTAATTGCACGAAAAGATGTCCGGAAAGGAAATTTATTACTTTACATATTTCTACAATAATTACAGTGGCTGAAAATTAATTTTAACAACCTTTTACTTTAATCAGTTCTGTAGAATATTCTTGTTTAAAGTGATTGAGTTTGGACGATTTTATATAATGAAGATAATATATTTTCAATTTATTTATATGTATGTATATTGGTCCTTTGATAAATATGTTGTGAATAAACACGATTCGAAAGAATATAGTTATCTAGAATGCGTCAAAATTACTTTTTTCTTTCCCTTCTTTCCTTTTAGAAAGTGACTTTTTATAGGTCTACGGCTTTTTCCAGATTCGAGGAAACGAACAATGCTATAGAATTTTTACTGAAAATTCCGCCCCTTGGATGAATGCCAAAGGTTCCTCCCAAAAAAAAAAAAAAGTAAAAATAAGAAAAAAATGAAGGAAAAAATTTAGTCATGTGATCAAAAGGCGCGAATCTTTTCTGAATTACCAAAGAGAAGCTGCACTCCGAAAACTTTACCCATTTTTGAGTTAATGGGAAGAAATCTTGGTGTTTGTGGATGCGGATAAAATAAATATCTGCCATTTGGGTGCAGATGTGGATGGCTAGAAGTTTCTTTAAAACGTAAGTGCTCTCCGGACCAAAACATTTTCAGAACTTACTGATGCATTCGTTGACGCTACATTTTTGTAAGAATTTACTTGATGACAATTCGTATAATATTTCAATAAAAATATACAGTTATGTCAAATTAAATAAAATAATTAGCAAAATTATAAACCTGTTTAATTAAGATGTAAGTTACTATATCAATTTACTTCATTATAAATTAATAATTCGGTATTGTGGCTTAAATTAATCTTCCATATAAACTATAATTTTGTACAGAATATAATAAATTTATTAAATGTGAAGAAAATATAGTATGAAAGCCATTGACTCAATCTCTACTTCACGTTTCATTAAGCTCGAGTTTTACGAAACGAAGACTTGATTTCTAGTCATTTTGAACCATCTTTAACAGACTTATGATTGAAGTAATCTTTTTAACTATAAATTACTTTAATAAAATTTAAAATTAATATAAATTTTGAGAAATTTTAGTGCTCTTTTCCTTCAGTTCGTTATCTCGATGGTAGTATGTTATTGTAATTGACCTCTTGAAGACCACTCGAAAGCGATCAATCTGCAAATTGAATGGCACTTTGCTTTGTGTCTAGTTATATTCGAAGATAATAACAAGATAATTCCTTTCATAATTGGAAAATAAATCTTGAAAAAAATAATTAAAATTAATAAAGTTTATGAATTTTTAATTTAATAGCCAATGGTAAACTGAAAAAAATTAAAGTTATTTACGAAACAATTTTACGACCTTTTGTTCCTTTTTTTAGCTTAAATAATTTATTTTTACTCATAAAAAAGACGATAAATAATATAAATTTTGTAGCTTTTGTTTCATTTCGACTTAATGAACAGTCAATTATTTTCAATTATAATGAAATATTTAAATATCGCGTTTCATTTTCTGACTTTTCGTCTGTGGATAAGCGTGTAAGTCTATCAAACCTTTAAGGAACTATAAAAATTATAATTGTTAATTAGGAAAATTAATGATAAAAATTGAAAATAAAATATATAAAATATTTATAATACAATATTTTAAATATTTTAAAATGAATATAAAAAAAACGTTTTTATTTTTTGATAAGAGCTTACAAGTTAGACTTTAATCAGCTCGTTTGTGTGTAACCTACCTAAAATTTTAAGTTATCGCTATTGATTTAAAATAATTGTCAATAATTTTAAAGAATTTATGTAAAATATAAAAAAAAGTATTTGTAAAATAATAAATGTGCTTGCTATTTTTAGAATATTTATGTTTAAATCCCCATTAAACATCTAAAGTACCTTCTCTTCTATATTTATCATTAGGTTAACAAGTTCAATAACATACATTAAACTATTAATTTAAGTGTAAAAATATACAAACTGTAGGTTTAAAGAATAGAATAAAAAATCCAGATTGCCATAAGTCCAATAGACAATCTGAAATTTATTAAGGTACAAATAGTATGTTTCATTTGTGACACTACGATTTCTTTAGTCATAAACAATAAAAAATCACCACCTTTCCAGCAATTTCTGACAGTTCTACAAATAGAAAGTTTCTTTATAAAAAAAANAAAGAATGTTTATAAATAAATTACTCGTGTGGCATGAGAAAAAGAAGCTAATATTCACTCATATCACGCAGAAAATTCTCCATAACTCTACTGAAGAATCCTTTCTTTAGTAACGAATTCAGTTCGTGCGTGGAATGCAAATTTGATGAACTTTGTTGCGGGTTTTATATATATATATATATATATAAAAGTAAAAGCTAAGATGCGAATAATCCGCGAAGCGTACATTAACCGGAAATAGCCTAGAAATGAAATATTTTTCTATCTCTCTTTCTATCAGATTGCATTTTTCTGACATGAAAACAAATTTTCTCGACTCGTTATAAGTTTATATTTAATTGTAACGTATAAATTATATATATAGGATATATATATATTTCTTTATTTTTTAAATTAAGTGTTATAAAACATGAGTAAAAAATCATTACGAAATTACCTTTTGTCTTGCAATAGATTTCGTTTGATAAGTAAATGGTTCTCCTTCCACATCTGCCAAAGCTGGAATGATGACAACACTCGGATCTCGAGTTGAATCCATGTTTCTTACGTTACCATATTTATATTTATTTCTATAAGCATTGTCCCCTTCGTCAGGAAAGAGTTTAAATGTTCCAATTTCTGGTAGGGAGCTACCCACTTGCAATTCAAGTCTGTTAAACAACTGTTCGTTCTTAACGCGTTGTTTTTCAGCGGGACTATTCACAATAGTTCCATAATTACCGAGCATATCTTCTGGTAATGCTGGCCCTCCAAAACGTCCAGGGATATTCATCCTGCTTCCTGGATATACCTGTCCCGAATATAAACCTATCCTGGTCTTGGTGGATCTCGTGGGTTGTCTTCTACCTTCTGGTCTTGTCCGGATTTTCCCTATTGGATATTCTATATAATCGGGATATTCCCTCATCGGCATTATCTGATCTAATGTATTTGGAAATTGAGGGATTTCGTTAGTCAATTCGCTGTGTCTAGCCATTCTATTCATATGGCGCCACATGGCTCTCAATTCTGCGCACGATGGCACAGGTTCTGATACTTCTGGTAAATGTCGTGGTATTTGTTCGCTCTGACGACGATGAACAGATACTAAATTTTGTGATCCTGGAAAAAATCCTGGAAGCAGCAAGAACGATTGACAGTAATTTATTAACGCAAACGTCACGATCAAAGCAATTGGCCTGATCGTTGCCATTTTAGTCATTCACTCTAAAACCTGCAAAGAGAAGAAGAAAGGAAAAACATTAAATTATTAATTATACTATCATAATAAGTATTTTTAAATATTTCTTTCACGATACATTAATTCCCTAAGAGGCATAACCAGATAATTTATCCTCTAACGACGTAATAAATCTGTGTGAGTTGCGATGGTGTACAGTGGCATCATTCCCCTGAGGAAGGCTTCCATCTTGTGTTACAACTTTTCTAGAACATAATAAATCTAATAAAATCCTACGATTATTATAATAACCTCCGAAATGTGAGTAAAGAGAAGTAAATGATTATTTAGTTAACCAAAGACTGATTATCTCTCATAATTCTGTATTTAATAATGTCTCCTACATTTAACATTAGAAATCCTTACTACAATATAAAAATTTCAAATTTGAATAATAAATAATGTATATTTTACATTTTCAAGTGTTTTTTTACAATAAAATTATCTCATAATTTTGTATTTAATTAATGATTGCTTCTATATTGGTATCATAACTCCTTTCAGAAAATAAATAATATAACTTTATATCATTTAAGCTCGTAAAATTTAATTTTTTTAAAATATTTTTACACAAAAATTAAGTCTATAATTCTAGAAATGTTGATAAAGAAAAATCTATACATAATTATATAATTTTTTTGAAAAAAATAACAAAAAAATAAGGTAATTTCCGTATGTAAATGTTAATATCCGTTTTAATTTTAATAATTTCTAAACAGTATTTGATCAGTTGACTGATATTAATAGATGAGTACAAACCTTTAGGGAATATATATTCATTTTGACAGACAGTTTGAACCAATATCGGTTGTGTCAATATGAAATTTTCGGTTTGTATAAACCACAAAATAACTCACATCATAAGTAATATTTTATAAAATTTAACAAGATCAACATATATAAATCCAGTTTTAATTTATTATTAAACTAAACTTAAATTTTCAAATTTTAAATGGCTTAATTTTAATATTTTTATACGTCAAATGAATTAAACTAATAAAAAATTTATTTATTTAAATTATTTTAACGTAAATAAAACAATTTAAACTAATTATCTTTATTTTAATATAAATTACACATTTTTATTAATTTTTTAAATAAATCGAAAATGATAGCAATTTCTGACAGTTCTACAAATAGAAAGTTTCTTTATAATTAGAAGAAACCACGTATTTAATATCCACTTGCACTTTTAAAAGTGAAAATCAGTCTTTTCGGGAATAATGAGGATAAGATTTTCAGGAATAAAATTGATTAATAATTAAAAGTAAACTTTTGANCTCTTATATATAATTTATAATTATATAAATTTAATAGATAAAAATTTTATTTGAAAATGAATTATAAAAAGACTGTTTTTTTTTAAAGTTTTATAAACTCGAAAATAATTTAATTCAACGTGAATTATATAATTTATAAATTTAAAATTGATTTTTATATACTTTTTTAACAATTTATTCTTGTTTAAAGATATCATTCTTGCTCTTCTCTTCTCTCAAATGCTCATAACTCTTATCTCTTTACGGTTATATCGATTAAATTAACCTTAATCTTATCAAGTATCGAGTTGTTTTAAGACCCCTTTTCAGGTTATTATGGTTATTTGATGTTGTTACAAGAGTAAAATTTAGATAAGAATTGACTTAATATATATATGTATATTGATTTTGAAATATTTTAACTGAAGAAAGAAAAATATTTTCTACGGATGTTTTGATCTTCATTATTTTGATATTATTCCTTTCAGGATGTCCATCTTATATCATTTCCTGAGAAATGGTCGTCCTTTGTATCAAAACATTCATATTGTCAACATGTCATTAATATAAACATGCCAACATGTCAAATATCAGAAGACAATCGTTCAAAAATTAATGTTGATAACTTTTAAATATTAATATTATTAAAATTTTAATTAAAATTAAATTCGGAATTTCTTAAAAATCATGTAAAATAATGATTTAAATCCGAAAATTAATTAACTTTATCGCAATTTATTTATACAATTTTCGATTAGTGTTATTATATTATAAGTAATTTATAAGATTCATTGAGTTATTTACTTTATAATCTACTTTAATTTTCGCAAACTGTTATTTCTGTTACTCTATTTCTTGATTATAATGAATAGTTTTATAAATTTCAATAAATAGAAAGCTTTAAATGAAAAGCTAACAGAATTTTCTGTAGTTTGAAGTGGAATTTTGAGCAAATGTAACCTGTACTTGAACATTTTACATGTCACTGGTTCAATTCGGTTCAATTCAATTGCACAAATTCTCTTGTGATAGGTTCGGTAATTAAATATAATTGTTTTTAATTATCATTAAAATAAAGATGTTTAATTTAAATAATAATCTAAATTTATAGAAAAGACTGTTATCCTCCTCTCGATGTTCCCACAAAACTTGTATATATATTAATGCTTTTTTTTGGATAAGTATTCATATAACTCTTTTTTATTATTTATGTTATTTAATTATTAATAATTTTGTTCCAGAATAATTTTTAAATGTATTTAATTTTATTAAGTATAATATCATATGTCGTTGTGGCATTTTTCTTAAATAAATAGCTAATCAGGATTCGAACTCACCACTTAACGAAAAAAAAAATCTTAATAAAAATACTGACGAAATGATTAAAATATTCATAAAATAAATTTTAAAAAAGTTGAACTGGATATCTTGTATTAAACAAATAAAGAAATGAGATTTAACCTCACGACATGAAGAACAAAGTACAAATCTTAATAAAGTATAGAAGAAAAACTGAAAGTATTCATTAAAAAGTTAGAAAACTTGAATAATATATCTTATATTAACGGCATTTTCTGTAATTAGAATCCCATTCTATCAAAAACAGCAATTAAAAATCTGAATTTTCTGTCTTTACACGGAAATTTTTTAAAAAAATTCAATGATTTTGATGTATATTGTACAAGAAACTTGTATTGCGATGTATAACAAGTTATATTTTAAGTGAAAGAAAATTATTTTTCTCTTTAATTAAACGAGGATGAAAGTATCGGATTATAGAATGTCGAACAATTGAATGACACGAAGTTAAGAACTTTATTTTCATTGTTCGTTTATTATTAGAAGTCTAAATCTCTGGTTATTACGAACGATAAAAGAGTAATTGGGTTCGAAACTTAATGGAAAAGCTTTTGGTATAATGGAACTTACAAACATTTAGATTCCTTTCAGTGAATTTTTGGGTGAAGTCAAGTGTAATTTTCCAATATATACAGCTCCCTATATATAGAATAAGTTTATATAAATATATAATGATCAGTTTAATATGTAAACATATTTATCAACTGAAATATTTCGGTAATTTCTCTTGACCTTTTAACTATCAAAAAATGAAGAATACATTCATGTATTTTGAATTTTTTAAAATTGAATATATAAAAGTATTGATAAAATGAAACTAATAATTTAAAGATTAAAAAACAAGTCAATAAAATATATATAATTAATTTTATTATGAATAAATTGTATTCTGAGCTTTAATTTAAACGTATAAAAACATATTCGTCCGGATAGATGTGAGCAGAATTCATGTTCATCCGGATAAGGAAGATTCCAATAGAAGCCATGTTCTTTAGAATAAATACTTGAATAGAAAAATTTAGGATAGATCTGAACCCGCGTCTGGAAGTCCAGAACACAATTTCCTCTTATCTTCATTGTTTTTCGGAGTATAAATGTTGTGTGCGCACTTATTTATTAACAATATTTGCCATTCCATTACTGCTTGAGCATATGATATAATTGTTTTAAGGACAAAAGTAAGAGCTATAGTAACATATAGGTTAAGTATGTCTCATTTGTTTACTAACTGGTGCATTCGACGTGAACCAATGGATGTAGGTTTACTCCAACTAAATGCATTTTCTGTTTGTGAATTGACTCTTTTGCTTAAATAGATATAAAGTTTGAGTATCGTCATATATAAGCTTTTAAAATATGAGATCGTAAGAGGAGGATTTCGAGGAAAATGTAATTTATTTCTCTTTTTATATTTAATTATAATAAAAATACCCCAGAAAATACATGTAATAAAAATGATTTACGATAGTCTATCGAAAATTATAGTTAATAATCATCAAAAATTCTTGAAATTTATAAGAATTTTTATTGATTTAGTAACATCAATTTTTTATTTTGGTCGTAAATTACATAAATATTAATAAATTATTACTTAATTTTTTAAATTGCGATTAAAATTTCAGCTTTAAAATCAATAAAAAAAGAAAATATCAAAGAGGTTAAAAAATTACATAAATAAATAAGCAGATAATTTTGTAAAAAATTAAATTCTGTTTAAAAGTTCTTAAAATATTTATTCATTTTAAAGGATTTTAAACGTCGTTATGCAGAAGAGACGTTATCAAATGAGGTTTAATATATTTTTTATTTTAAATTAAAATAAATAAATGAATTAAAGTAAACAAAATCTTTAATGCCCTTCGGGGAATAAATCGAAATTATCTAATTGTATAAGGAAGTTTTCGTAAAGAATTTTAATTAAAGTGCGTGATTGTAAGAAGAGGATACTAAATATTAATAAAAGGATATCAATCATCAAGTGTGATCAATTTACATCTTTAATAACTTCTAATGTATCAATCCCTTTAATTAAATTGTCTTTTTAAAAGCTTTTGATGCGTGAATTGACATCGTTAATAGTCAATGTGCGTGTTATAAGAGAAAGAATGGTCACGATCATCACACACACACGAAAAAAATTGAGCAAATTTTTGTGATTTTTCTATGACTCACCCGGATTTTTATTTTACATTTTTTAAAAATTTTACCATGGAAAAAACTTTTAAAATTAATTAAATTAATTATTCAACATTTCGCTTCGATAATTTCTATACTTTTCGTTGAGAAAAATCATAATTTTTTAGTCAGGATTTTCGTTTCCATCCTCTCGTGATAACATCTTTCAATTCAAACAAATCATTAAAATGCACTTGTTATGCTGCTATTCATCTTATATATATATATTAAAATTGTATTTAATATACTTTATATAATAATAATAGCAATAATAATTAGTAATTTAAACAAAGTTGGTTTAATTTAAATAATTAAAATATAAGTTTTATATAAATATATAAGTT